GTACCTAACCACTGACCGAATCAGAATATTCTATCCTTTCGGGCAGCTCATTCTATACACGAACCACCCTCCATGGAAAAAGCTGCCCCTCAGGTCCCTTTTAAATCTTCCCCTCTCACCTTAAACCTATGCCCTCCAGTTTTGGACTCCCCTACCCTTGGGAAAAGACCTTGGTTATTCACCTCATCTATAACCCTGGTGATTTTATAAACCTCTATAAGATCACCCTCAGCCTCTGACAGTCCAACGAAGAATATCCCAGCCTATCCAGCCTCTCCTTAACTCAAACCCTCCAGTCCCAGCAATATCTTTGTAATCTTCTTTCTGTACCTCTTCTAGCTTTACAACATCCTTTCTATAGCAAGGCAACCAGAATTGTATGCTGTATTCTAAAAGTGGCATCACCAATTTCTTGTACAGCTGCAACATAACACTATAGCTCCTATATTCAATACTCTGACCAATGAAGGCAAGCATGTCAAATCCTACTTTCACTGTATGATCTACCTTCAACTCCACTTTCAAGGAATGACGAAGCTGCACACCGAGGTGCCGCTGTCCAACAACACTCCCCAGGGACCTACCATTAACTGTGCAAGTCCTGCCTGGTTTGCCTTACCAAAAGCCTGGTTTGCCTTACCAAAATGCAACGCATCGCATTTATCCAAATTAAACTCCATGTACTCTCATTCCTACACCTCCTTTAGAATTGTACCGTTCATATTTTTCATATTGTTCCTAACAAACTGTATAATTTTGCATTTCTCTATACTGAATTTTATCTGCAATGTTTCTGTATATTCCACTAACCCATTGTCTATGTCCTCTTGAATGCTGTAACTATCTTGCTCACAGTTCACAATACTTTCAAAGTTTCATAACATCCACATATTTTGAAATTGTGCTCTATACACCCAAGTCTCAAAAAATATATCAAGAAAATATTCCTGGAGGACTGAATATATTCCTTCAATCTGAGGAATAACTTAATCAATACTTTCTGTTTCCTGTCAATTTTGTATCTATACTGGTAATTTTTTTTAATCCTTGGCTTTCAACTTTACTGACAAGCCTATTGTGTGTCACTTTATCAAATGTCTGTGAGGTCCATGTACACCATTCTCTTCAGTAATGTTAATCATAGTCATACAGCATGGAAACAGACCCCTTGGTCCAATCAGTCCATGTCAAAACATAATCCCAAACTAAACTAGTCCCAACTGACTGCTCATGGCCATATTCCCCCAAGCCTTTCCTATTCATGTACTTTTCCAAAGATCTTTTAAATGTTGTAATTGTATCCACATCCATCACTTCCTCAGGAAGTTCATTCCACATGGAAACCACCCACTGTGCAAAAAATTTGCCCTGCATGTCTTTATTTTAATCTTTCTTCTCTCATCTTAAAAAATTTCCCCCTTAGTCTTGAAATACCCCAATCTAAGGAAAAGACAACTACCATTAGCTCTACAAATACCCCTCATTATTTTATAAACTTCTATAAGGTAGCCTCTCCTACGCTCCAGTGGAAAAAAAATCCTAGCCTATTCTTTATAACTCAAACTTTCCACACCTGGCAACATCCTGGTAAATCTCTTCTGAACGCTCTCCAATTTAATAATGTCCTTACCATAACTGGGCAACCAGACTGGACACAGTATTCCAGAAGAGGCCTCACCAACATCCTGTACAGCCTCAGCATGATTTCTGAACTCCTATACGCGACAATTTGTCTTTAACAAAACACACGCTGGTTTTCCTTAAGACCATTAGATGAAGGAGCATAACTAGGCCATTCAGCCCATCAAGACTGCACCATTCAGTAAGATTATGATAATCCTGAGCTCCACTTTTGTGCCTTTTCCCCATAATCCTTGATTCTCTTACTGATTAAAAACCTATCTCAGCACTGAATATACTTAACATCAACAGCCCTCTGTGGTAAAGAATTCCACAGATTTACTACCATCTGAGAAGAAACTCATTTTCATAACTCTCTTAAACATGTGATTCCTTATTCTGAGATTATGCCCTCTGTTCCTTGACGTTCCCACAAGGGGAGTCAACTTTCCGAATTTACTCTGACAACTTCCCTAAGAATATTGTGTATTTCAACAAAGTCCCCTCTCATTCTTCCACATTCCAATGATAAGATGCCTAACCTTCTCAACCTATTCATAAAACAGTCCCTCCATATCTTGTATCAGCCTCTGAATTGCCTCCAATGTTACTATGTCTTTCCTTAGAGAAAAGACACAAAACTGTTCACAGCAATCCAGCTGTGGTCTGACTGGTGTCTTTGTATAGTTTTTAAAAAAGCTTGCTACTACTTTATTCCATTCCACTTCACATAAAGGCCAATATTCCAGTTGCCTTCCCTTTTACACAAAGAACTTGGACATTAGCATTTTGTGATTCATGGTCGGGGACTCCCAAATCCCTACGTCCCATAGCTTTCTGCAGTCTTTCTCCATTTAGGTAATGTTCAGTTCCACCATTCTTCCTGACAAAATGCTTAACCTCACATTTTCTTACATTATATTCCATCTGTTAAGTTTATGCCCACTCATGTCGCCTGTCTATATCCTCTACAGATGCTTTGTGTCATAGAGTCATAGAGATATACAGCACGGAAACAGACCCTTCGGTCCGACTCGTCTATGCTGACCAGATATTCTAGATAAATCTAGTCCCAATTGCCAGCATTTGGCCCATATTCCTCTAAACGCTTCCTATTCATATACCCATCCAGGTGCCTTTTAAATGTTGTAATTGTATCAGCTTCCACCAATTCCTCTGGCAGCTCATTCCATACATGCACCACTCTCTGCGTGTCATCCTCACCAATTGCCTTCCAACCTGTTTTTGTGCTATTCGCAAACTTGGCTATAGTATGTTCACTTTCCTCATCCAAGTCAAAGATATATAGAGTAAATAATTGTAGCCCCAGCACTGATCTCTACTAGTTACAAGTTGCCATCCTGAAAATATCCCCCTTATCTCAATTCTGCCTTCTATAAGTAAGCCAATTGTCTATCCATGCCAATATATACTATCCCAACACTATGGGCTCTTATTTTATTAAGTAGCTTAACAGGTGGCATCTTATCAATACCTTCTGAATATCCAAATTTATTAGATCCACTGTTTCTCCTTTATCTATCCTGCTTCTGACTGCCTCAAAGAATTCTAGTAAATTTGTCAGTTTGTGATTTCTCTTTATGATGATATGCTAACTCTGGTTAATCATATATATTTCTAAATGCTCTGCTATTACATCCTTTATTATAAAGTCTAACATTTTCTCAATAACAGAGTTTAAGATAACTGGCCTACAGTTATTTTTTTTGTTGTCTTTTTTTAAATAAATGTGTTACATTGGCAGTTTTCCAACCCTCTAGAACTCTTCCAACATCTAAGGATTCCTGAGACCAGAGCATCCACTATCTCTGGAGCCACTTCCTTTACTATCCCAGGATGAATCATTTTAGGTCCAGGGGACTTATTGATCTTTAGCCCCATTAATTTCCCAACTGCCATGATGGGATTCAAACCCAGATCCCCAGACCATTACCTGAGTTTCTGGATTAATAGTCTGGTGATAATACCACAAGGTCGTTGCCTTCTCATTGATTTCTCTCTTCTTTTCCATAAATTTAAGCTTATTTAATTTTTTAAAAAAACTACTTGCAAGTTTACTGTTAAAGTTTATTTTCTCCTTCTAAATCTTCTTGAATTAAGTAACTAAATTTTATCCTGGATTACTGTTTCTAAAAGCTTTCACACCGCTGATGTTAAAATCCTTCGTTCAACAAGGACGTAAATTTTGTAATTTTCTAATCTTCTGGGGCACAGCTCCACCCACCATGGAGGATTTGAAAATTATGGCCACTCCCTCTGCAATTTCTGTCACTTTTTCCCCTTGAAATCCTCCAATACATCTAATCCAGTCCTGGTGAGTTCTGAACTTTTAAGTACAGCCAGTCCTTCTAATACCTCATCTTTTTCATGTTTTTGTCAGGGCTAGAAGCAGATATTATGGCTGGAAGAAAATGGTTTTAATGGTGGAGTTATGTGCTCGAAAGCTTAACTGGGGAACAAACATAACGTCATTGTTGTGAATAGCCTTGCTCAGCTTCGGGTAGTTGCACACGATCAACAATTGGCTTAGTGATGTGTGTATTGGCTTAATTTTATTATATAAAGAAGGACAGTAGACTTCTTTTACCTGTAAAGTTAGTTTTATTTATTAGGCTCAGAAATCAATTCAATCGTAGAGTGAGATTTATTTTGTTTCCCAAGTATCTGAGTATGCAACGGTTTTAAGTTCAGAGGTGAAACTAGTCACTAAAACACTTATTTGTGTACCACATCACTCAATGAAGTCCAGCATTTGGTGTTAACATTTCAGGGAAACTTTCATTACAATGTGGAACGTGGATAATTTGAGGGTGAGGCCGCTAGTGGTGCAGTTGTCGTGTCCTTACCTAGTATACCTACCCAGGTTCAAATCCCACCTGTAGGTCTTTCAAAATGCATCTGAAAAAAGTTTATTTAAAACATCTAGATCATAATGCAGAAAAATTTAAAACTGACATTTGAACACAAATTATTCACAATTTTAAGTACATTTCTGTGCAGTTTTATACTTGTGCTTTAATGAGCAGTCAAGCTTCAGCTCCTTTATTTTAGAGGAATGCCTAGTCTGTTCTTGTTATCAAGATCATATCCAGATACCTATAACTCAATTAATTTGAGCAAACAAACTCATTGTTTATGGTACTATTGTATATAGTGTAAGTCAAAATTTCAATGCAAGTAATGCTATAATTTAGAAACCTGCTTGGTATTACTAAGCACAGCAAAATTTACCATCAAACACAGGCCTCTTCCACCCCCCGCCCCGGCAAGTCCTCAACCCTAATTAGGACCTCCCTCTCAATGTGCCTGGCACCATTAATCATGTGGTCACCATGAAATCTCCAGCTGACACCACCGACCTAGTCACTTCCGCCGACACCATCACATAGCTTCTGCTGCCGCTGCCGCCACTTACACCGTGGACGCTGCTGCTTCAGACGCTGACACTGCCGACATCAAGGCCGTCGACATCACTTCCGTCAACACCACCACAACCGACGCCGACTGCCGCCGACACCACTGACACTGACGTTGCTGCTCCCGCCGCCAACAATGTCACTAACTCTACCCCCGCACCCAGCTCCAACTGTACTGCCAGCTCTACACCTAGCCCAAGCCCCAACGGGTATTCACCATCCCCCCAGACATCTGCCTCAGTGAGGACGAATGGTCAGTCCTCAGCAAAGGACTCACCCTCATTCCTGTCCACCCACACAATGAATTCCATTCACATCTGGATGTCGAACACTTTTTCCGCCGCCTTCACCTCCGCGCCTATTTCTTTAACCGGGAGTCTAACCCACCCTCCACAGACTCCTTCTCCCGCCTCCAACAAACCCCACATCCTGGTGAACATCACCCCACAGCCTCCTACCCTCCAACGACCTCTTCATTTCCAACTGCCATCGTGACATCAATCGCCTCAATCTCTCCCTCAACGAACTTGCAGCCTTCCTCTCCAACTCTAACCTCATTAATCAAACCCACAGATAAAGGGAGGTACAGTAACGGTATGGTGCACTGACCTTCACATAGCTGAAGCCAGGCACCAACTCTGACACCTCCCCCTACTGCCCCCTCGATTATGACCCCACCCCTGACCACCAAACCATCAACTCTCAAACTATTCATAACCTATCATCTCAAGTGACCTCCCACCTACAACCTCTAAATTCATCATTCCCCAACCCTGCACCACCCGTTTCTATCTCCTTCCCAAAAATCCACAAACCTGACTGCCCCGGCTGACCCATTGTCTCTGCCTGCTCCTGCCCCACTGAATGTATCTCCGCTTACCTTGACTCTGTTTTCTCACCCCAGTCCAGGAACCCCCCAACTTATATCTGGGACACCATCCACGCCCTCCA